AGGTGTTTTGGTTTCATTTCGTCACACACAGACCAGCTGCTGTACAGTTTGGACTGGGAAGGTGGAACGGCATTGGTTGTAATTCCATTCACCAACTGGGAAAAGTAGCGGATTGTCCATGCTTGGAATCATGCAGCCAACCTGAAAAGAAGAGAGAACCATCCTTTACCATGGAATTATTCACCACACAGGGCACATAAAAGTGCAATCAAAGGCCAGTCAATCCAAATACATTTCCACTGGCTGGGTCTAATGGGTTGGTCACCTATGGTCTACTTCCATCTCTTGGGACTCCAGCAAGGGCATCTCCTTAATCGAGTTCCTGGATTTTTTTTTTCCACTTAACTTGGGGTGTTTCTACTCCCCTTGCTACAATTGTGCATAGATAACATGATACATTAATATACACTCACCGCCCTTTATTAGGTCCACCTGTTCAAGGTTTTGGTAACCCAAATTTCTAATCAGCCGATCACATGGCAACAACTCAAGGCAATTTAGGCATCTAGATGTGGTGAACGGGACAACTTGCTGAAGTTCAAACTGATATAAATCAAAAAAAAGGCAGCGCTCCTTCTTACTATATTTCCACAGTGTTTTAACCAATCATATTAAAATCCATGATAAATAAATATATAATCGAAAAATATTCAAACAAATTATCCCCAACAAGTTCAAACCAAGCATCAGAATGGGGAAGAAAGGGGATCTAAGTGACTTTTGAACGTGGCATGGTTGTTTGGTGCCAGACGGGCTGGTCTGAATCATTTCAAAAAACTGCTGATCTACTGGGATTTTCACTCACAACCATCACTAAGGTTTACAGAGAAATGTCCTAAAAAGAGAAAATATCCAGTGAGCCGGCAGTTGTGTGGAGGAAAATGCCTTGTTTATGTCAGAGGAGAATGGCTGATTGGTTCCAGATGATAGAAAGGCAACAGTAACAACAAATAACCACTGGTTACAACCAAAGTAAATAAAAAAAAATACCATCTCTGAACGCACAACACGTCGAACCTTGAAGCAGAATTTGGCTACAGCAGCAGACGATGACCCCATCGGGTGACACTCCTGTCAGCTAAGAACAGGAAACAGAGGCTACAGTTCGCACAGGCTCACCAATATTGGACAACAGAAGATCGGAAAAAACGTTGCTGGTCTGATGAGTCTGGTCTTCAGTTGTGACATTCACAAGGTAGGGTCAGAATTTGGTGTAAAACAACATGAAATCATGGATCCATCCTGCCTTGTATCAGTGATTCAGGATGGTGGGGGTGTCATGGTGTGTGGATCCATCCTGCCTTGTATCAATGGTTCAGGGCTGGAGGGTGGTGGTGTCATGGTGTGGTGGATCCATCCTGCCTTGTATAATTGGTTCAGGCTGGTGGTGTCATGGTGTAGTGGATCTATCCTGCCTTGTATCAATGGTTCAGGCTGGTGGTGGTGTTATGGTGTGGTGGATCCATCCTGCCTTATATCAATGGCTCAGGCTGTTGGTGGTGGTGTCATGGTGTGGTGGATCCATCCTGCCTTGTATCAATGGTTCAGGCTGGTGGTGGTGTCTTGGTGTGGTGGATACCATCCTGCCTTGTATCATCGGTTCAGGCTGGTGGTGGTGGTGTCACGGTGTGGTGGATCCATCCTGTCTTGTATCAATGGTTCAGGATGGTGGTGGTGTCTTGGTGTGGTGGATCCATCCTGCCTTGTATCAGAGGTTCAGGCTGGTGGTGGTGGTGTCTTGATGTGGTGGATCCATCCTGCCTTGTATCAATGGTTTCAGGCTGGTGGTGTCATGGTGTGGTGGATCCATCCTGCCTTGTATCAATGGTTCAGGCTGGTGTGGTGTGTCTTGGTGTGGTGGATCCATCCTGCCTTGTATCAGAGGTTCAGGCTGGTGGTGGTGGGTGTCATGGTTCCATCCTGCCTTGTATCAGAGGTTCAGGCGGTGGTGGTGGTGTCATGGTGTGGGGGGAGATTTTCTTAGCACTGGCAAGGTGGACCTAATAAAGTGGTCGGTGAGTTTAAATCTTAAAGAGTTTCCGAAGAAAGAATACGGCTCCAAACTTTATTCATGATTGGTAAAAGTCACACCGGCAACGCGTTTCGGGGGGACCAGAATTATACTCCCTCTTCTTCAAGGATAACTAATACAATCCACGGGAATATTTAATAACTATTATAAATGAATGACCAAAATATTTAATAAATCAGTGGCCACATGGTCAAGGATGGCTTCCTTTGTGTGCGAGTACTTATTGCACCCACTGATCCGTAGGGGTACAGCACTCGAAACAAACTGTGCAGTTTGACCAAAGTTACATAAAAAAAATGTTAAAAATCAAATTTCGTCACCAATAAGTGATCAGTGCTAAAAAAAAAAAAAAAAGCACTGACACTGTACTACTGACACTGGGCAGGAAGGGGTTAACATGAGGGGTGATCAAAGGGTTAACTGTGTGGCTGGGAGTGTTTTACTAGGGGGAGGGGTCTGTGTGCTTCACTGTAATCACACTGCTCTGGATGGCTGTGCAGTGTGCAGGAGCTGACAGGGAGGAGGACGGTTAGTAAACAACACCGTCCTACTCCCTGTCGGAGATCCTGAGCAATCACCGGGCGCCGGCGGAGAATCACTGCCCGGGACCCGATGATTGACAGCTGTGAACGGAAATGCAAAATCACGTGTATATATATATTTATGTGTGTGATTTTGTGCACCCGTGCCACCCCGTAGCAGTATATCTGCTATAGGGCGGCGGGAAAGTGGATAAATAAAAGGCAACTTTTTTTTTTTCGTCTTGGATAGAGTGGAGAGGGATTAGAACCCCCTGTCAGGTTTTTTTTTTTTTTTTTTCATCTGTGTCCCCCATTAGGGAGATTCCCCTTCTCCTGTCCTGTTTACTCTCATCACCAAAAGTGAAAGCAAATGAAAATCCTAAATTTCGGGTTGTCCCCCAGAGAAGGAAAAGTAGGGAAATCTTCCAAACGGGGGACACTGCTTCTGGTGACAACCAGGGATTCCCTCACTTTAGAGGGATTTCCTCTCACTTCCTACTTTGGCTATGGGACAGGAAGTGAAGGCAAATCTCCCCAACGGAGCTCCGATGGCAAAAGCAACATACAGGGGTCACAACCCTCCCTTACTCTGTCCAAAATGCCTTTAGTTCTACTTTAACCCTTTCACTGCCAGATCAGACATGTCAGGTGGAAGCAGGCGGGTGGCTGTGCTGCCGCCCCATTGCTTCCACAGCCCCTGGTAATGGTGCCCCTCTGCCGCGCACGCACTCCCGCCATGTATTCCGGGCTCCACATGCCAATCTGCGGGCCCGGGGCTGACAATAGAGGGTGCTGGCGGGTGGAGGGGAGAGAGGACACACGCCCGCTCTCCTCCCCTTCTTGCTGTAAACCAGAAGGTGACATGTATGACACACGTCAGCTCTCCTCCCCTTCTCGCTGTAAATTAGAAGGAGACATGTATGACACATGTCCTCTCTCCTCCCCTTCTCACTGTAAACCAGAAAGCGACATGTATGACACGTGACACACGTCAGATCTCCCCCCCTTCTCGCTGTAAACCAGAAAGCGACATGTATGACACATGTGACACACGTCAGCTCTCCTCCCCTTCTTGCTGTAAACCAGAAGGCGACATGTATGACACACGTGACACACGTCCGCTCTCCTCCCCTTCTTGCTGTAAACCAGAAGGCGACATGTATAACACACGTCAGCTCTCCTCCCCTTCTCGCTGTAAACCAGAAGGTGACATGTATGACACATGTGACACACATCAGCTCCTCCTCCCCTTCTCTCTGTAAACCAGAAAGGCAACATGTATGACACACATCAGCTCTCCTTCCCTTCTTGCTGTAAACCATAAGGCGTCATGTATGACACACGACACACGTCAGCTCTCCTCCCCTTCTTGCTGTAAACCAGAAGGCGACATGTATGACACACGCGACACACGTCAGCTCTCCTCCCCTTCTTGCTGTAAACCAGAAGGCGACATGTATGACACACGCGACACACGTCAGCTCTCCTCCCCTTCTTGCTGTAAACCAGAAGGCGACATGTATGACACACGCGACACACGTCAGCTCTCCTCCCCTTCTTGCTGTAAACCAGAAGGCGACATGTATGACACACGCGACACACGTCAGCTCTCCTCCCCTTCTTGCTGTAAACCAGAAGGCGACATGTATGACACACGCGACACGCGTCAGCTCTCCTCCCCTTCTTGCTGTACACCAGTAGGCGACATGTATGACACACGTGACAAATGTCAGCTCTCCTCCCTTTCTTGCTGTAAACCAGAAGGCAACATGTATGACACATGGGACACACGTCAGCTCTCCTCCCCTTCTTGCTGTAAACCAGAAGACGACATGTATGACGCCACTCCTAGGTCACGGCTGTGCCTGTCCCCCGCTAGAATAGAAAAGCCATGTATTGCATTACATCCATCAGAGCCCAGAGGAGACATTGGGGGTCTTTTAGACCTTGGATGTGTCATTAAAGAGAACCTGTCACCTAAAAACCATCCCATAGCGCACTTTGTCCCCCGATGTCATGGAAAAAAAAAAGTTAAGTAAAAAAAAAAAAATAAAAAATTACACCCAAGCACATAACATCCCCCCAAAAAAAGTCGAGGCTCCCCCCATCCCCACATATACGCACGAACATAAACGCACGCACCGGGGGCGTCTACAAGTGAAAATGTCGATGCCATACACGTTTCCATATCGCCGCGCACAGCCAGAGTGACAGCGATAATTCCAGCACCAGACCCCCTCCGTCATGCTAAACTGATGGCCTATGGGGGGCCTTTAACCCCTTCCAGTCCGGACACTTTCCCCCCCTTCCAGTCCGGACACTTTCACACCCCCTTCCAGTCCGGACACTTCCCCCCCTTCCAGTCCGGACACTTTCCCCCCCTTCCAGTCCGGACACTTTCCCCCCCCTTCCAGTCCGGACACTTTCCCCCCCTTCCAGTCCGGACACTTTTCCCCCCTTCCAGTCCGGACACTTTTCCCCCCTTCCAGTCCGGACACTTTTCACCCCCTTCCAGTCCGGACACTTCCCCCCCTTCCAGTCCGGACACTTTCACCCCCCTTCCAGTCCGGACACTTTCCCCCCCCCTTCCAGTCCGGACACTTTCCCCCCCTTCCAGTCCGGACACTTTCCCCCCCCCTTCCAGTCCGGACACTTTCCCCCCCTTCCAGTCCGGACACTTTCCCCCCCCCTTCCAGTCCGGACACTTTCACCCCCTTCCAGTCCGGACACTTTCACCCCCTTCCAGTCCGGACACTTTCCCCCCCCTTCCAGTCCGACACTTTCCCCCCCCTTCCAGTCCGGACACTTTCACCCCCTTCCAGTCCGGACACTTTCCCCCCCTTCCAGTCCGGACACTTTCACCCCCTTCCAGTCCGGACACTTTCACCCCCTTCCAGTCCGGACACTTTCCCCCCCCCTTCCAGTCCGGACACTTTCCCCCCCCCTTCCAGTCCGGACACTTTCCCCCCCCTTCCAGTCCGGACACTTTCACCCCCTTCCAGTCCGGACACTTTCCCCCCTGCCAGTCCAGACACTTTCCCCCCTGCCAGTCCAGACACTTTCCCCCCCTTCCAGTCCGGACACTTTCCCCCCCTTCCAGTCCGGACACTTTCCCCCCCTTCCAGTCCGGACACTTTCCCCCCCTTCCAGTCCGGACACTTTCCCCCCCTTCCAGTCCGGACACTTTCCCCCCCTTCCAGTCCGGACACTTTCCCCCCCTTCCAGTCCGGACACTTTCCCCCCTTCCAGTCCGGACACTTTCCCCCTTCCTGCCCAGGGCAATTTTCAGCTTTCAGCGCTGTCACACTTTGAATGAAAATTGCGCGGTCATGCAACACTGTACCCAGATGAATTTTTTTTTGCATTTTTTTTTTAGACAGATTGAAAAAACTTTATTTTGGTGGTATTTATTCACCACTGGGTTTTTAATTTTTTTTTTGCTATATAAATGAAAAAGTCCAAAAATTTTGAGATTTTATTTCTTATAAAAATTTGTAAATAAATAATCTTTCTTCATAAATCTTGGCCAAAAACGTATTCAGTTATCTTTTTAGTAAAAAAAAAAAAAAAAAAAAAAATAACCCAAATTAGTTTATAACCAAAAATTATAATTTAAAAAAATGTTTCTTACTTTTTTTTTTCTTTTTTTTATATTATTTATGGGGTTTTTTTTTTACATACTGTCACCATGGCGACACTGTACTACGTGTGGGGGGTGATGAAGATTTTTTTTTTTTTCTTTTTTTACCCTGATTGCTTTTACAACCCATAAAGGCTGTAAAAGCAATAATTTTCTCCTCTCTGGTTGCATTCTTGCAGCCATTGAGAAATACTGTGTGAGCTGTGATTGGACACAGCTTGTCACATGGTACAAGGCTGTTGTGAATAGCCCTGTACCACGTGATCTCTGTGATCATTCACAGGTTTCACACATAGTAAGCAATGATGTCAGAAGTGACATCTTGCTTACTCCTCTTCATGTGATCACTGATTGGCCAATCAGTGATCACATGATCGGGACCTCACACAGAGGTCCCATCCGACAATCGTTGTTCCACTGTGTCCGGAGGATCGCGGTGCCGCGTGCTCCCAGGGAAATGGACTGAACGGCAACCCGCCCCTGCACTTCCACCATCCGGCCGTTTATATACATGGGCCGGATGGGAAGTGGTTAGAAAATAAAGGGTATTGAAATTTGTCGCCATTTCATAGGCACACGCAAATTCAAGGTTTGGCGTGTTGGGTATCTATTTACTCGGTGCAAACCGCGTCTTTTATATTTTACCAAAAATTTGCGTAAATAATTACATTAATCACTTTAGTGTGTTTTTTTTTACTGAAACTTTGCATTTTCTTCACGGTAATATCATGTGACGTAAAAAACTGCAACTACCACTATTTTATTCTCCGGGGTGTCGGCTTTCAGAAAATATATCATGTTTGGGGGTTTTGTGTCATCTTCAGGCCTAAAATGATTTTTTAAAAGTGTGTTTAAAAAAAAACAAAAAACAAAAACAGCTCTGGGAGCAAAAGGGTTAAATCAAGCATGGTGGGCTTTCATTGTGTTTCTTGTGAAGGGCTGGGAAGAAAAAAAAAAAAAAACCACAAAAAAGGTTGAATTACAAAACGGCATTAAAAAAACCTTGAGGAGAGTCCCTTCCCTACTTTCTTTCCAAGGATGATAATATTCATAATAAAATTATAATAAATTGTAAAGTAAATCATTAAAAATAAATTATAAGCTTGGTATGTGTTTCTCGGGCCAGTGTGAAAAAAAAATAAAAATTTTTTCCCACTTTTTTTCACCAACGACAATAATACCTATAATAAAATTTCTATTCAACTTAAATAATTAATAATAAAATAAAATAAAAATTATTTCACTGTGTTTTTAGGGCAGATCATTCATTTCAATAGGCTGATCATTTCAATAGGATAATAACCATAAAAAAAATACTATTAATTATAAATAATTATTATTAAAATAATAAAAATTGAAATTCACTAAATATTTAAAAAAATTAATGTTGCGTGCAAAAAAAGATGTAGGGCTTATTGACACCAGGAGATGCGTTTAAGCGTGCGTTTTAGGGCTTACCATTCATTTTAATAGGCTGATCATTTCAATAGGATAATAACCATAAAAAATACTATTAATTTATAAATAATTATTATTAAAATAATAAAAATTAAAATTCACAAAATATTTAAAAAAAATAATGTTGCGTGCAAAAAAAGATATATGGCTTGTTGACACCCGACGATACATACAAGCATGCGTTTTAGGGCAGACTATTCATTTCAATAATTTTAAATAATTATTAAATAATTAAATATTATTAAAATAATAAAAAATTCACAAAATATTTTTAAAAAATTAATGTTGCGTGCAAAAAAAGATGTAGGGCTTATTGACACCAGGATATGCTTTCAAGTATGCGTTTTAGGACAGACTATTCATTTCAGTAGGCTGATAATTTCAATAGGATGATAATAACCAAAAAAATACTATTAATTCTACACAATTATTAATAAAATAATTCACGCAATATTTAAAAAAATTAATGTTGCATGCAAAAAAGACGCAGGGCTCGTACACACCAAGAGATGCATCTGAGTGTGCATTTTAAGGCAGACAATTCATTTCAAAATGTTGATAATGCCCATAATAAAATTACTATTAATCATAAATAATTAATATTAAAGTAATAAAAGTTAAAATTCACACAATATTTAAAAAAATTAACATTGCGTGCAAAAAAAAAAAAAAAATGTAGGGACTCGTTCACATCAGAGATGCATCCGAGTGTGCGTTTTAGGGCAGACCATTCATTTCAACAGGGTGAAGTATTTATATAAATTATAAAAGAAACTTGCAAAAGAAATTTGAAAAAAAGCTTCCGTCGCGATTTTTTTAAATAGCGCCATGCAAAAACATGCATGCACTCTGGCAGGGCGTTATTGTGTGTGCGTCTGCTAGATATTTTGGGGTATTTTTAACCACAATAAATTTACAGTTAATTATAAATAATATTAAAATAATAAAAATTTAAATTCACACTCACAATATTTTAAAAAATTAACATTGCGTGCAAAAAAAACAAAAAAGAAGATGTAGGGACTCGTTCACATCAGGAATGCATCCAAGTGTGCATTTTAGGGCAGATTTTTTCATTTCAATAGGCTGATAACCTCAACAAAAGTACATTTTTCATTATAAATAATTAATAATAAAATAAAAAATAAAATTCACACAATATAAAAAAAAAATGAACGTTGTGTGCAAAAAAAAAAAAAAAAAAAAAAAAAAAACCATTCATTTCAATATTTTTTGATAATAAGCACAATAAAATTACAGATAATTATAAATAATTAATAATAAAATAATAAAAAAATTAAAATTCACAAACAATATGTCAAAAAAATTATATAAATATGCAAGAAATGTTCAAAAAAAGTTTGAAAAAAAGTTTCCGTCACGATTTTAAAATAGCGCCATGCAAAAACATGCATGTACTCTGGCAGGGCGTTATTGTGTGTGCGTCTGCTAGATACACGTGGGGTACCTTTAAGAACTGCTGGCACCCCAGGCATTTTATTGCACAAGGCAGCGCTTTTTTTTGTGCAGTGCAGGAAAACATTTATATTTTGCGTGCGTTCCCAAACTGCAATCTCCGCCATTTTTTTTCTGATGACTAGGTGCAGCTTTTAGCCATTTACAAGTATTATAATTATTATTATTATTAATATTATACAGGATTTATATATAAATGTATTTTATTAAAGCATTTATTGATATATACGATGTATACAATGTAAATATAAATAAATATAAATATAGTATAAATATAAATAAATGTTTGAATTATTATACAGCATTTATATAGCGCCAACAGTTTGCGCAGAGCTTTACAAAATGAAAGCAGACATTAGCCCGGGTTCACACTGATTTGCAGAATTTGCTGCGGTTTCTGTGTGAATTCCGCAGCGCATCAGAATCGCACCCCGTTCCTGCGAACCGCTGCGGGTGTGTATGTTTTTTAACAAGTTTTTACCCCCCGAAATCAGTCCGCAAAACGCGGTGCGATGTACAGAATCGGATCACATAGGTTTGAATACCCGTGTGATCCAATTCTAGTGCGGACCAAAAAAAAAGGTCCTGTACCTTTTTGGTGCGGGTTTTAGTGCAATTAGAGCCATACAAAATGTTCGGCTCCGATCGCATCGCACACAGATCGCATGTGATTGGTACAGGAATGCGGTGCGGTCCCTGCACGATTCACATGCAATATACCGCACCGCATATATGTGATCCCGGGCTTACAATGACAACGTGATTTGGTACAAGAGGAAACAGAGGGACCAGCTTGTTACAAATATATATAAATGTATAACTAGAAATGTATTATATAAAGCATGTATTTATAAGATTTATTAAATGTATAAATATATAAACATGTATAACAAAAATGAATTTATTTATAAAAATATAATCGTATATATAAAAAGTCATTCTAAACAAAAAAAAATATATTATAAAATATTTTAATTTATATATATATGTAAATGCGCAATATAAAATGTATGTATATATATATATATATATATATATATATATATATATATTAGAGAGAGAGAGAGAGAGAGAGAGAGAGAGAGAGAGAGAGAGAGAGAGAGAGAAGAGAGAGAGAGAGAGAGATTTTTTTAGAGAGAGAGAGAGAGAGAGAGAGAATTATAAATATATTATGTAGAATGTAAATCATATTATAGAATTTAAATAACTACATAAATATATATATATTTTATATATATATATATTAAAAAAAATTATATAAAATGTAAATTAAAAAAACTGTGTATTTATATATATAAAAAATTTTCTCTCTTTTTTATATATATTTTTTAATTATTTATATATTTTTTTATATATATATATTTTATTTATATATATTTTTTAATTTTTTTTTTTTTTTTTTTTTTTTTTTTTATATATATATATATATATATATATATATATATATAAAAGAAAAAAAAAAAAAATAATTAAAAAAAAGATTTTACAATCTAATAATATTTTTTTTCGCACAGGACCACAATATTCACCCATTTTTTTACCATTGATCCTACACTACAATGTACACAAATATTA